AGAATGGCAAGGCTCACTGATGATGCCGACTACGAGGCCGGCGAAACGTCTCAGAATGTATCAAGTCCACAGTCAGATGCTAGGAATCAAGACAACTACTATGGCAGACGACTTCTGACTCGATGCGTTCTACATAGTCTCCCTGAATACAAGACCAAGTTGCGACAACGAGGCCAACCAACTTCTATAAGTTGAAAGGAGATTGCGACCATACCCGAGGCCACAACATCTTGGTCTTCGCATCTTGAAAAAAAATTTATGTCTTATACTCGCGTTATTTCGTTTAAGTTGATAAAGTACTAATCTGTGAATTTTCCACAGGGATATGGGTAAAGATGACATTTACATTGAATTTAACAAAGACTTGCTTTCCCAAAAGGTGATCTCATCCGGTGAGGACTGCAGTTTCATTATCGCCTAGTTCTTATCAAAAACTGGTTCAAATTCCACTGTGGGTGCTGATTAAATCTAGGTGAGGTTGAAACTGCAGCCCAATTTGAGTAAGAACACGTTTTAGGAAAGCAATGCTGTGTGAAATTCAATAGAAACGTCAGATCTCTCATATAATTGTGGAAAAATGCATCTACAGCTTTTCATCACCTTAAACGTGATAGGGTTGACATAGCTTTTGCACCATTTAAATTCAGAGATCTATTATTCTGTTCAAGAAGTGTTATTATTTTCACCATATCCAGATTATCTTAGTGTTAAAAATAATTACTAAGATTAGACACTAAGGACCTTAAAGATGTTACTTAATATTTTAATATCGTATAATGTTCGAAGTCCTATCTGATACTTATTTCTACTGACAATAATAATTGCTCTCCCTCATACTATTTGTCTGAAGCAAATTAAATTAATCATGTTTTTTGTATGGTTAAAAATTTGTTCGGCGATCAATATCAGTAATAATATATTATTTATTATTCCATGTGTTGTAACTTCTAGACAAAATAAAAATGGTCGTTGTAAACTATTTAAACAAGATTCTGCTCCCCTCACTTCTCCTGGTCCCTACTCTCCCGTGCATGTTAGTCATGCTTTTGTCCTCTTGATTTTTGCACTTGATGATGGATTCTAACGTCTCACGTAACGATACCGATACACGAGTTCCCCTTCGAGTCCATCATCATTCTGCAGAAGGTACTGGCAATCGGTCTCTTAGTCTAGTGTCGATGGCTCAATCTCCTTCCTCAACGTTATCAGCCCATTGTTCACTCCATGCAGCTATGAATATACTTCCTGCTCTCAATCTCTCTTCTAGGGATGGAGTGTGTGAGGAGTCTAATATTATAAACGCTGCTGGGAATTCCTCTATTTTACCGGAAGGAATAACAGGTGATCGAATTTCTGCTGCTTTCGTTTCTGGTCGTTCAACAGAATCAACCCCTTTAGATTTGATTAATTTATTCGAATGCCCGATCTGTACTGACTACGCCCTTCCGCCCATATTACAATGTCAAAAGGGGCACATCGTTTGTGCACAATGTCGGGACAAAGTAATTTCTTGTCCGATATGTCGGGGCTCCCTTGGTTCGTTAAAAATTGATCGCATACTAACTTTGATTTAGATAACATCAGGAATCTTGCGATGGAGAAACTCGCTTCCAGTCTTCTTTTTCCATGCAAATATTCCACTAGTGGTTGTCCGAAGTCTTTTCACTTCACCACAAAACTAGATCACGAAAAACTATGTGAATACCGGTAATAATCCTTTTTTTCATGTCACCATTTGATATTTAAATCAATGGGGTAACATTTTTTGCTACATAACCTTCTTAGCTTATATATTTTATAAACAAGCATTTGTTTTATACGGTCTATTCTCGCTTCTTAACAAAATTATGTTGCTTCTATATTAAACTTTTATGACAATGCTCTCTCTGAGTTATGGTGATTTATTTTAATAAAGATTAAACGTATACTTTTATTTAAATTGTGAAAACCGCTTCCAACTATGTTGCATGGTGATATTTAAATATAGGCTAACTTTTCACTTGCTAAACTAGACAAAGACTGAATGATGCTAAAAATTTTGCCTCGCTTATTTCCAGAAAATGTGGGCCTCTAGACTACAATATGAATATTGCTGGTGCTTGCTCGATCATGATTTTAATTTGTAAATTTCATCGAAATTTATTTTACTGCATAATTTGCATGTCTATGATTTTTTATCTTAAATTAGACCTTATTTGTGCCCTTGTCCTGGAACCTCGTGCAAATGGATCGGCCAGCTGCCCCAAGTACTTCCACATCTCATGCAGCAGCATAAAAGCATAACAACTCTTCAAGGTAGGCCTCTGATAATAAGCTTTATTTTGGCTCTAGCGATTCGCTGTTTTAGTGTTTTTCATAGTGCAGAACCATCTAGAATGACTATTCACAAATGTCCCAAAATGAGTTTTATAAGCTTAAAGTATAACTTGTGACGTGGTGCTCAGGGGCAAATTTTTGGTTATTTGTGAACTTAGCTGAGTTAAGTAACAAGATGAATTTACGTTTTTTTATTCTTCTCTCACTTTTTGCCCTTCATTATTTATTAATTCTTCTGTATTTTCCTTATTACTGGCTTAAAACTTCGAGTATTTGACTAGTAGATGGCTATACCTACGTTATATAAAGCAATTTGAATCTCAAAAAGCTTTTCATAGTACAACAGACAAGGTATTATTTGCTTTTTACTGGCAGTTGATTTATGGGCTTGAATTCATTTACTCAATTATAGATTTATTTGTTGGGCTACACACTGCTGTGGTTGTAATTTCCGCATGCTTGAGAGCATATTAAATCCTAGGTATGTAGGAAAACTGGGTTTCCAATAATCCTTACCGCTCGTCCCTTTTAAACGAAATGAAAGGCACCCCAATATTTACTCGCAATTTTGTAAATAAGCTATGCGAAGATGCTGACTCGTCATTTGCCTATCTCGTTATTCTTTTTAATTTTTTTAAACGACCACAAGTCGAAAAACACTTGGCTTATATATGGACTTAGTTTCCGAAGTTTATTTGCATAGACTTTTTTTCTGACACTTTTCAGTACATTTAGTTTCTTCTAACTCTAATTTATCTTTGTAAAAACACTATTTAGCAATTCTATTTTCTAGGTGCCGATATCGTATTTCTTGCTACAGATGTTAATATGCCTGGTACTGTAGATTGGGTCATGATGCAATCATGCTTTGGGCATAATTTTCTACTTGTTTTGGAAAAGCAAGAACGAATACCAAGTCATATGTTTTTCGCTCTCGTCCAGCTTATCGGCGCAAAGAAACAAGCGGAGCAATTCGCATACAGGTGATAATTTTATCCTTAATTTATAATTGTACTTGGATCAGTGTCTTTTCTATCTTTGCTTTATCAGTGAAGATTTCTTCATTCTGATTAATTTTAGAGTGCGTCGACTTGTATTCTCAAATCTTTAATATGTAAAGCAGATCGGGAGATTATTCCTGTCTATGTTACTTTCTGGTCCCGCAATCCATTCATCCTGTTATTTAGGAGACGTATCCTCATCGCTAATTAGTCATTATTGTTAGTGGGACTATGATTTCGTATGAAAGTGAATAAAGAAGAGATTCGTTGGTCGATCTCACCAGATTAGGACGGATGAATCTCGTACTGCAGCCGTTT